TAAAATTGTGCTTACCACTTCCTGGGATGTCAGATCACCATCTGAACCTGAGTCAATCAAAGTCTCGTAAACATTCTGCGTGTGGCCATAGGTCACCAGCACGCTGACGGGGGGTTGAGAGGGTGGAGAGAAAGATGAAAACTGGCTCACTATGTGCCCTCCCGCTAGCGAGCCCCCACGTTTCCCAGACAGTGACGCACCTGGTGACCGGGACGTGCACAATACAGACACAGCCCCTCCCTCATCCGTCTCTGTCGTTCAGATGCGGGGAGCCTTCCCACTCCCAGCTGCATAGGTTCCACAGGGGGCGGAGCCTCAGGAGCGGGCAGAGGCTGTGATAAGGGCCTGAGGGGTGCAGGGGTAAAATCCGGTAGGCAGCGTTCCTCTCTGTGTCGTTCCATCCTCCGACGATCGATGCATGTAGCCAGCTCGATTAGCTCCTCCAGTTCCTCCAGAACCTCCCATGCAGCCAGCTCGTCCTTGAGAGTGCTGGAGAGGCCTCGAAGAAAAACGTCGATCTGGGCTTCCTCCGGCCAGAGGGGGGTTTGCTGCCTCGATACGGAACTCCAATGTGTAGACGGAGACGCTACGCCCGCCCTGCCTAAAGGTTGGTTTATGCTTGACGCGTCCGCGAGGTCCGCACGGCTCCGCGCGGAAAAGTTGCGTCATTTTAACAACCACGCCCCTCCACCGCGCCTCCGCACGGCCCAGAATTTCCGCAACGCGCACCTCAGAAAATTTCTAACCACGCGGACGGACGGACGCGGAAAAACATGGCGGACTGGCAAGAACTAGTATGGCAGAGGTTCGTAAATACAGACATTTGGTGATTCAGCTCTCAGAGATCACCGTGATCAACATGTAATTCTTGGAGAGAAATAGCTCGCACTGTCGGAAAAGACGAGAACGCTGTTAAAAATGCTGAAATGCCATGTTGTAAACAGTAATTTTAACTTCTACTATGGTGTAGTGTTGGGTGCATGCTGTAAAGCTCCATGCTGCCCCGTTCAGTTTGGGAGAATATTGGCTCACGGCAGAGACGAGCCGCACGAACCATAAACGCTGTGAGTTGTGAGGCGCGTTCCATCCACGAGCCGCATCACCGCGCGGAAAGTGAATGCGTCAAGCATAAACCAAGCTTAAGGTGGAGTAAGTAAGCAGCAGCATTTCTGTGAGGCGTGGTGGGATCGAACACAGTGAGCAGCTGGCGAGAGAAAGAGCGGAAAGAGCGGCGGAGGTCCAATCCTCAGTCCCATTCCGCTAGGCCCCACCTCTTAGCTTGTCCAGTTAGGAAGCTCATGGTGAAGGCCACTTTGCTTTCTTCAGAGGGGAACTCACCGGGGTTGAAATCAAAATGCAGCCTGCAGGAGGCGAGGAACGGCCGGCAGTCCACAGCTGTGCCGTCGAAGAGCTCGGGAGAACCCAGGCAGACCTGACGAGGCAGAGTGGGACCCTGCTCCAGTCTAGAGAGGCGTCCATGGAGTTGCTGCATTCAGGACAGGCAGCCTCGTATCTCCCGAGCCATTACAACAAGTTCCCCTCCTACCCCCGCGTCCTCATCTGAGCCAGGTAAGGGAACATTGGTGGCTGGTAATCCTCCTGCTGGGTTGGTCATGGTGGCGTTGTAATGTCACGTGAGGGTACACAGGAATAAACCCAAATGCAGGAGGCAGAATGACTTGATCCAATTCTGAGTTCCTTTAATAACAAAAAGTCACCACATAAGTGGGAAACAGGACTTCACAGGTCTTACTTGATACAAAAACTACTAATGATGATTATCCACAGACTCAAAGCAATACTATAGACACAAGCAACACTACACAACAACGCCACACCATGCACTGGGAGCAGCTGCTTAAAATACATGGTGTGGCAATCAGGAAATTGCAGTCAGCTGCGGCACTCCCCGGTGCTCCACAGAGGGGCAGGAAGAGCCACAGCCAACCTGCATAGAGAAGAAACACAAATAAAAACAATCATTAGGTGTAAACCATAACAATATAAAGCCCACTCCTTTTTAAAAAATTCTATAAAACCTTTGTCTTTAAGCAGAGATGTATTAAACCTCCAGATTTTGCTTGGTGGGATAATCTTCTTATTTACCAGAGTTAAAGAAACCGGAGCATGGTCGCTGACAACTATGGGGTGTATCTCAGTGTCTGAAATGTCAGCCAACAATGAACTGCTGACTAGAAAATAATCCAAACGTGAATGAGAGTGATGGACGTGTGAGAAAAAAGTATACTCTCTACGGTTAGGATGAAGAGATCGCCATGCATCACAAAGCCCATAATCACTCATGTACTGTTTAACTATATTAGTGGATTGCCAATTGCGCTGAGTCCCAGCTGTACTGAGCCTGTCTGTTAAGGAATTTATCCAAAAATTTAAATCGCCTCTAGTATAAGTGACAGTCCAAGTGTTCTGAGACTACAGAGAAAAAATTATGAAAGAATGAAGGGTCTTCAATATTTGGACAGTATATGCTGACGATACATAAGCTTTGATTCTGTATAGAGATTTTTAACATTATAAATCTACCCTCTGGATCTGAAACGTTGTCCAATACTATGAAATTGATGTTTTTGTACATTAAAATAGCTACACCTCTTTGCCTAGAATTATAGCAGGCAGGGAACATGCTGGGTAACTCAGGTGTTTTGAGTTCATCTGTGGATGTGGCAGATCTATGAGTCTCTTGTAATAATATCATGTCTGCTTGCACTCTTATTAACTGATCAAAAATCTTTAATCTCTTCTCTCTGGAGCCAGCTTCATGTACGTTCCATGAGACAAACCTTAGTGCACCCATAAATGTGTGTGTGAGTAGCTAGAATATGACGCCTTCCTGTGTATGAGGTCAAATAAGTAATTAAACGTGTAAATTAATCTGATAGTAAATAATAGAGAGTAAATAATAAGGGTATCATTATAATCATCATTATCATTTGCAATAATATTATTGCAGTATTGTAATAACGATAAGTATTATTATTAATAATAATAATTATTATTATTATTATTTAATAATAATGATAACAATGATAATAATAATGATAATAATTAATAGTAGTGATATTAAAATAGTAATGATCATATTATAACAATATTAATGCTGAGTATGATAATAATAACAATAACAATAATAATCATAATAATAATAATAATAAAATAATATTAATAAGACAAGCCCAACAGTGTTTTTAATTAAATGAAACACCTTACTTATCATGTGTGACTGTGCGTATGGATTCTCTGTGTGTGTGTGTGTGTGTGTGTGCGCGCGTGTGCGCATTTTGTGCGTGTTGTTGCACTGTAGAAATAATGCTAATTGTGCCATGCAGATGTAAAGATCCAGAATCAGATAAAAAAGGGGAAATTAAGGAATTATAAAGGTTAAGAAAAAGAAAAAAGAAGAAAAAAAAAGAAAAAGTGTTGTGAGTGTGAGGTGGTGATAAAACAGGTGAACATATCTAAACACGGGCCTAGCAGCTTATGGATCCTGACATGTTCAAACCCAATGAATTCCGTTAATAATAATAACAGATGTAAACAGGTGTAATAACAGGTGTAACAGATGTAACAGATGTAATAACAGGTGTATAGGACGACAGATGGCAAGGTGATTGTGGAGGATGAACTTCTTAATTTCCTTGCTGTTAAAATTAAAACCTTGAGCCAGGATGAAATTGTGTTGTTGGCCACGAACACATTTGAATCTGAGGGGATTGAAGCTTCAAAAAAAGTTTTGTTTGAGCTCTGCCCGAGTACTTCACAGAGGTGCGTCGGCTATAAAGGGCAGCACAAAGACGCCAATAATATCAAGCTCTGCCTTAAAGTGCTGAATGAGTGTGGGGAAAATATCCCTAGATTTGTATCCCATCACTTGGAGGATTTACCACCTGTTACATTCTCCAGCCTGGATGTATGCTGTTTGCTGCGGCGGATGGAGCAATTGTGTACGGAGGTTAGTGCTTTGAAACACGTAGCCAAACTTCAGGCAGATGTCTGTGAGCAAGTTCGGGCTGAAGCTGGAGAAATTAACTAACGAGTGGCCGCACTGGAGCATCAGTCATGCGACCTGGCTGGTTCTGCTACTCTAAAAGAGCAGGGACCAAGGACGGGTCCTTTTCTGCATCCGAGTAATAACTCTGAGGAGCGGCTGGAGAGTAATGGCGGCCTGGCCGAGAGGCAGGGAGTTGGCGTGTTGGCTGACTAGAGGATCGGGATGGGCCCTGTGGAAGCATGTGCCTCTGTGACTTCACGGAGTGGTGAAGATCGGACTCTGTTAGCGGCCTCTGGTTCTAACATGAAGAACACTGTGTTTACAATGAATATGGTGGAACCGGAGCCTCTCACATGCTCCCCACAGTGGAGTACAGTCGTGAAGAGGGGCAGGCCTCGTCGGAAGCCGGAGAAGGTTGCTGCAGGGATGCATGTTCCTTCCGCAACTAGACATAACAAGAGGCCTGGAGCTGGATCTATTATTGGCACTGGAACTTTGAGTACTATAAAAACTGTAAAGACAAAATTAGTGTCTGTGTTCGCCACTAAATTTGCCCCAGAAGTTGATGCAGAAACGCTCTCATTGTATCTTAAAGAGAAACTTAACAGAGACGTCACCTGTCTGAAAATTGTTAATTTACGGAGCAGGTTTGGCTCCTTTAAGGTTACGGCTGAGTGTGATGACATTGGTGAAATGTATAACCCTGAGCTTTGGCCTGAAGGGGCTCTGGTCAGACGGTATTATGAACCACGGAACCCCCGCTCTCTCCGCTCTACTAATGTGTCTCCAGCAGGGGATGTTCCCCCTGGTCCAAGCACCTCAGCATAAGCATGTCTCTTCGGGTGCTGTCCTATAATTGTCGTCGCCTGCGTCTGGGCCAGGATGCAGGGGATAGAGCTCGACGTATTGTTGTGGACAGTTTGCTTGAAGAATGTGTTTGCAAGAGACTTTTCTACCTAAACAAGACCCGGACAAACTTAATTGCCTTAAAGGAGACATAACATGAAAAACCCACTTTTTTATCCATTAACACGGTGTGTTTCACATTTTAAGTGTCTAAGTGAGCAAAAAGGCTTATATTATTCACTGGAGTTGCTATTTAGATATTTAATAATTAAGTTTTGGGCATATTTGTCCACCCGTTCAGTTTTTACATAATCTATTACATCAGTAATTAATTTAGTGAGGATAACTACCAAATATGGTAATGGCCCTCGGCTAAACACAGAGCCAATCCGCCATTTTTTCTTCTCGCTAAGATTTTTTGTAGTCCTATTGGAAAAATGCAGAATGTCTGGTTATTTTAGCCACACACAGCTCAAAACTGTTCCTCGTTTTAAGGAAGGGTGGTGTGGCAGTATTTAAACCCAGGAGCTGATGACACTACTGCTAAAAAAACACAGAAGAAAAAGTAGTGTGTTTGCGTTTGTTTGTGTGTGTGTGTGTGCGTGCGCGCGCGCGCGCGTGGTTCGTTCGTTCTGTCTCCAGGCTAGTGGCTAAGTACTGAGGGCTTCATCTATCTAAAAGGAGTTATTTCCATCTGAATTTGGCAGCACCGGGACACAGCAGCAGAGCGGTAAGCTTCATATCACTCTAAAATGTCGACAAACTTTACTTTAGATTTACGGGCATTAGCAGCACTAAAGCGTTAGCATCCGGCTTGCTATCGCTAGCACAGTATGCTAGTAAAGTTAGCACCCAGATTAATGTGGATTTGGCTGATTTTCGTGGAATAAAACGTGATTTCTGATCAACGCCTTCTTTTACACCAGATGATAACCTCCCACTGATTGTAGCAGCAGAGAGCCTGTGTGTTATTCTACATGAGTGTGATGTAATCTTAGCATCCAGTAAATAAAGTCCCATATCAGCTAAAATGCAGCGTGACAAAGTCATTAAAGTGCGTCAACACAGTGGATTTAATAGAGTTTTAAAGAACAATCTCTGAGTGAAGTGAGGTTAGTTTTTTGTCTCACTGCAGATATAAAAACTAACTCTGCATCAGTCAGACGCAGCAAAGCTCACCGTCTGTATGAGCGTGAGCGTCGGAAAGCTGATAAAATTGGCTGTAAAATAATTAAAACAAAGTAAAAATGTTCCTTTGCTTTTTAGAGTCCACATCCAGAACGCTGGAGCCGTGTTTCACTGACAGGCTGTCAGACTAACGCCCTGATGAGCTCAGCTGGGACAAACTGGTCTGATGTTTAGGTAAGTGAAGATCTGCTTCTCCAAGTCCTTGAGATGCTAGTAAAAAATAATTTAGCCAGCTTGCTAATGTTACTTTTCTTCTCCTCTAAGGAACACAGAACGTTCAGATGTTGGCGTTTCACGTCACCTACTGAGGAAGGAGACCCACCAGTAAAGAGACGGTCTGGACCAGACCAAAGTGAGTGATGACACACCTCAGCCACCCTCATCATTAAGAACACCTCACCCCCTGAATCACTCCGTCTGATGACAGCAGAGTGATTTATTTGATGTTTTACTTGTTTAGTCTGTTTAGAAATTATTGAATTACATTATTTTCTGTAATCGACCATCTGATCTGGATGTGTGCAGAATAACTTTCCCCAAATTCAGCAGCAGCTGGCCTACAAAAACAGCTGCAGCATGTAGTAAGTCTGTCTGCACTGCTCTCTAATGAGCTTCCTTTCATAAGGAATCATTTGTATAATTTTAGTGTCACTATTTTATTACATTTGTAAGAATATGAAGTCACTGCAGCAAAGTGAACTTGTGAACAAACACAAACGTGACTATAAACATGAAAGCTAAAGAAACGACTTTCCTAAAGCTGCTTGTAAACAAAATATGTCATTAAAGTTATTGTCTATCATTGCAGAATATGACGATGACATCATGGAACTGGTCTTTGGAAAAGTTTTCCCTGAACCAACTCCGTTTCTAGATGAGGTAGAGAAGATCTGCATCTCACCAACTCTCTGGTCTCAGTATTCAGACAACGGAGGTCTCCCACTGTTGTCCAGGACCAGTTTGAAGCCCACATACTGCCCCTCCCTCATCATCAGGAAACATCAATCCGTATCCTGAGGACAACAGAAGACGGCAGGAGGACAGGAACTCTGAGACCTAGACACCACCAGCACCGAGACACAAAGCACCTGTGTGCACAACGCCTGTTTAACTACTAAAGCCTGTTTATTATATTGTTCTACTTATTTGCTGTGAGGTTAATACTTAGAAAATTTGTATATTAATGTAAACAATAAAAAAAATCACTGATTGTATGCTTTCTTTTAGATGTAATGATCCAAACTCAGCCTTGTAGACATTTATTGCATCCTGTAGGTAAATACACAGAACAGGCTCAGGTCCAGGATGACCCAGCATGCTCTTCTTCCATTCTGGCTGTTAGGGATTTTATCAATAACTCAATGCCTACTGATGTTTTCACCTAACGGTATTTATTTAGAATGCAGGTAAGATTTAACTATATTTGTTAGCAAAGCAAACTGATCTTGGGAATTTCACTGCAGCACTGATGTCCACCTCCCTGTACACATTAGAGAGAATTACCACTTTACAGCTAAACACATTTAATAAAGATATAGGCTACGCATTGCAGACAATAAAAACAAAGTTGTAAGCATTAGAATTATAATGATGACATTAAAGAACACTTGGAGGAATGTTCTTTATTTTTGACTAGAATCTCAAATCTTTAAATTAAAATGTAACTGCTTTTTATCCATTTTCAGCCATTAAGACACCCAATATAAAATAAGACTACTTATAAAATTATTTATAATTATATGTATGTATATAGATAGAGATCTTAATAAAATATATTCTTTGAATGGTGTTTTAATGAGCTGTATCATTTTTTTAAACATTTTTTACAGAAATAAGCAAGCAGCATTCCTTGTGTGTGTGTGCGCGCGCGCGTGTGCCTGCTCGCTTGTCCCTCCGTCGGCCGTGACGGGTGTGTGTGAGTGACTACAGACAAATGCATGAGAGAGTTAGCAGCCATGAAACAGCTTGATGAACTACTCTCCCCACGTGTTTTAAAAATGCTAATATGCTATGCTAAATCTGCTATGCTAAATAATGATTTCTCTATAGAACTACAAAGTCCGACTGGGGGAGGAGAGTACAGGACTGCACTATGGAGGGGGGCGGAGTTTACAGCTCCTCCTCCAGTTTAAAGAGACAGTACCCCAAAACGGCTCGTTCTCAAGACTCTCCTCAGAACAGGGGTAGATGAGGGTCTGTAGAGCAACAATAATGAGGAAATCAGACCAAAGAACTGCAGTTCCACTGTTTTTAGACCCCCAACTGAAGGATTTAGATGTAAAAAGGAATAACTTAAAAGCATGTTATGTCTCCTTTAACTCTAAATTTTTCGGAGTGGGGGAATCAACTACTGATCTCAGCACAGCTATAGTCAGGGGTAGAATATCAGGAGGAGTGGCTGTGCTTTGGAACAAAAGAAATGATGCTGTAATTAAGCCACTTAGACTGGATGTAGACTGGTGTATTGGCATACAATATATCCAGAATAACATTAGTTTTGTTATCCTTAATATTTATACTCCATACGAAACTGTTGGAAATGAAGGGGAATATATTAGTAGGTTGGCTTTTATTAATGCATTTATTCAAAGTCACAGTACTTATAGTATATATGTTGTGGGCGACTTTAATGCTGATCTTTCAGATACAAAATCTCAGTTTGCTAAACACTTAGCACAGTTGTGTGAAGACAATGATCTTGTTCTATCCAGCAAAGTGTTGTTGCCAAAAGACAGTTACACACATATTAGTGAGAGTTGGCATACTACATCATGGCTGGATCATTGTATTAGTACACCTGATGGTCATGCAGCTTTGGACAGCATGACTATAAAATATGGGGTAACTGTGTCAGACCATATACCTTTTGCTTTCGCTATAAATGTGGAACAACTGCCTGATACAATGGGAGTTAATTATGTCAACAATAATGATGATAATATAAAAGTAGAATGGGCAGCATTAAGTGACAATGACATATCGGCTTATAGTTATAATACAGATCAATACCTGAACAATATCTCTGTGGCTAAAGAGGCTATCCTGTGTGAAGATGTCAACTGTAAGATTCTCAAGCACAAAAGTGATCTATGCTCTATGTATGAGGATATAGTGGACGCTTTGTATGAAAGTGGTAGACCTTTTCATGTCAAAGGTAAGAATAAGCAGAAACCTCATATCAGGCCTGGCTGGAAAGAACATGTTGCCATGTATCAGGATGAAGCGCGGGTAGCTTTTAAATGTTGGGATATGGTTGGGAGACCTAGGCAGGGTGTGGAATTTGAACAGAAAAAACGTGCAAATGCCAGATATAAGTATGCTGTTCGTTTTATATCAAAAAATGAGCAGATCATGAGAGCAGATTCTATGGCCAGGAAATTTATGAGTAATGACGTCAAAGGTTTTTGGAAAGATGTGAAAACAGTTAATAATTGCAAATCATCTCTACCAGGTGCTGTTGAAGGTGTTTCTGGGGAAGATAATATTGCAGCATTTTGGAGACATCATTATTATGCACTGTTTAATTGTTTAAAAAGTGACCAGCATGAGGATGGCTCTGTAATTAATGATGAATCTATATGTTTAACGACCTATGAGGTGCATGATGCTATCCACAAACTAGCTGATAATAAGGCTTGTGGTCTGGATCACATTAGTGCAGAGCATTTGAAATTTGCTAGCCAAAGACTAGCTCCCCTTTTAGCTCTATGTTTTACAGGGTTTATGATTCATGGCATACTACCAGACTCAATGATGGCAATTCTGCTTGTTCCAGTCATTAAGAACAAATCTGGGTAGGTGACCAGCATGGATAATTATAGGCCGATTGCACTAGCCAGTGTTTTGTCTAAAGTTCTTGAAAAACTTATATTTGATAGAGTCACTGTGTACCTCAGTTCCTTGGATAATCAGTTTGGCTTTAAGCCAAAACATGGTACTGACATGTGTATATACGCACTTAAAGAAATGGTCAACTGGTATAGAAATAGAAACTCTTCTGTCCTTATGTGTTTTATTGATGCCTCTAAGGCTTTTGATCGTGTAAACCACAGAAAACTTTTTATTAAGTTAAAGCTACTTATTGTGAGAATCCTGTCTTACTGGTATGCTCATCAGATGATACAGGTTAAATGGGGTGCCAGCATCTCTGCACCATTTGGTGTTAGTAATGGTGTTAGGCAAGGTGGAATTCTGTCTCCTATCTTATTTAATCTGTACGTTGACGATCTGTCTGTGCAGCTGAGAGCCTGTAACACAGGATGTTTGATGGGTACAACTTTGATCAACCATCTGATGTATGCTGATGATCTGGTGGTCTTTAGTCCAAGTAGTGCTGGTTTACAGCAGCTCCTAAATATCTGTTCTGAATATGGTGTGCAGTACGATATTCAGTATAATGCTGTTAAAAGTGCTATCTTGATATGTAGAACCAAGCAGGATAAAAAGCTAAACTTTCCAGTGTTCAAACTGTCTAATAGTGATCTTAATGTGTGTGAGAAGGTGAAATACCTTGGCCACTTTATAACCGATCAAATGCGTGATGATGCTGACATCCACAGACAGTGCTGTAAGCTGTATGCACAGGCTAATACTATAGCTCGTAAGTTTGGTTTTTGTTCACCTCCAGTTAAGGTGGCTTTATTTAAAGCATATTGTACTCCGCTTTACACAGCCCAACTGTGGTCATCCTACAATCAAAGCAGCATGAATAAGCTGCAAGTTGCATACAATTATGCCTTAAGGATTATACTTAAAATACCCAGAGGGGGCAGTGCCAGTCAGATGTTTGTAACAGCAGGCATTTGTACTTTTAAAGCACTTTTAAGAAAACTCACATTCACTTTTATAGGCCGACTGGATAGCTCTGCCAACAGTATAATTTCAGCAATCACTGATCCTACTGTGAGCAGTTGTCGCTATTTGTCCAGTATAAAGTTTAGTATAAAGTTGGCGTTAGTAATGGTGTTAGGCAGGGTGGAATTCTGTCTCCTATCTTATTTAATCTGTACGTTGACGATCTGTCTGTGCAGCTCAGAGCCTGTAACACAGGATGTTCCTTCAGCCATTTCTCTCCTGAAAGTCCAGTATAAAGTTTAGCTTTTTATCCTGCTTGGTTCTACATATCAAGATAGCACTTTTAACAGCATTATACTGAATATCGTACTGCTGGACAAAGGAAAAAGGCAGTGAATATTGTCCAAGATGCCACACATCCTGCATCTACTCTCTTCCATCTCCTCCCATCTGGCAGACGCGATAGATCACTGTACACAAAAACTACCAGACACAAGAACAGTTTCTTTCCTTCAGCCATTTCTCTCCTGAATCTGTAGATTATTTTACCATCCTTTTACTATAGTTTTTAATACTTAATCAGTATGCTTATGGATATGTGTGTGTGTGTGTGTGTGTGTGTGTGTGCGTGCGTGCGTGCGTGTGTGTGTGGGTATGTATATATGTATATAGGTGTGTGCGTAAATGAACATGTGTGTGGGTATACATGATCTTAAGTGTTTTTAGGTATTTTTATTCTCATTTATTATGGTTGTTGTATGTTTTAGAGAGCGAACATCTACCGAAGACAAATTCCTTGTAAATGTAATTTTACTTGGCCAATAAATCTGAATCTGAATCTGAATCTGAAATCTGATCTGATAAGGAAACACTGGTTGAAGTGTTTGTGTGGTTAACCTTGTGTGGAACAGTTTATAGTAAAGTTTTTAATTACATTTAGATTTTTATTCAATTTTATGCTGTTATCTTTTTATTTCTATTTATCTATTTTGTTTCATTGATCTGTTGTTTTATATGTATTTTATCTGGACCTAAGAGTCTGTCAATAAAGATTATCTATCTATCTATCTATCTATCTATCTATCTATCTATCTATCTATCTATCTATCTATCTATCTATCTATCATCTATCTATCATCTATCTATCTATCTATCTATCTATCTATCTATCTATCTATCTATCTATCTATCTATCTATCTATCTATCTATCTATCTATCTATCTATCTATCTATCTATCTATCTATCTATCTATCTATCTATCTATCTATCTATCTATCTATCTATCATCTATCTATCTATCTATCTATCATCTATCTATCTATCTATCTATCTATCTATCTATCTATCTATCTATCTATCTAATAAAGTTGTAGCTGATGTTTGTCTAATAAAGCCAGTCTGTTACTCCTCGTTCTTTGTAGAGCTTGCTGTCTACGTACAGTCTATCTACGGAGATGACAGCCCATTTAATTCTTACGCAGCGGAAAGAAAACTCGGCGTCGATCCAGAATTTCCTTAGAAAATTGGTCGTTAATGCTGAAGTCTTTACCTTTAAGCTCCCTCCCGCGGCTTTTAACAAGATCTTTCTGCTTGAAGTGCTCCGATTTAGCCACGATGGGACGAGGTCTTCTGCTGTCTGTCCTCCTGGCTCCAAGGCAATGTACTCAATGAAAGGTGATGTTTTTAACAGTTTCTTCAGGTATCTTCATGTGGGTGTGGAGAAAGTTCTTGATTGTTTGTTCGCAATCCTCCGCTTCTCCTCCCGTCTGCTCTGGAAGGCCTGCGAACCTATGGTTCTCTCTCATGCTCTCTGTTTTAGAGCTTTATTGTCCTGGGAGATCCGATTAAATCCTTCAGTCAAGGAGGAAACTGATTCCCGGAAAGATGCATTCTCAGCAGCGAGCCGCTCCACCTGCTCCTGGCTGAACTCCAGAGACTGTCGGAAGTTCTGGAATTCCTTGTGAAGAACCTCATGCAGGTGGAGTCGT